TGATCGCTATTAACAATTTTGTATTTAACAAATCATATTTTCTATCTCATCTGAGTACAACGTGATCGCTCCGTCCGACTTCCGTTGTCGTGAGGTATGGGTTGTGCGTCGTAAACAATTCTCTAAAACAATATCTAAGCCCACAGCTGGAATATGATATCATCTATATAGCTTCTACCAGAGGTGTGCACATTTTAGCATTTTGGCCATAGGGTTAAAATTACCCCTTTTCCCTAGAACTAGAATATTAGGTCTGAGATATTGTGGACCTTTACAAAGATTGTTCAACTTATCGCCCTAAGGACAAAATGAGTTTCGCCCTTGGGGTCATGAGTATTCCTTATACACATTAAACAAACTAAAAGAAGAAGATCCCACGACCAAAACAAGGTTGAAACAGTAACCGCAGTTTCTAAAATAATGCGTTTTTAAAGAATAGGCTTTTTGTAGAAAAAAATTGGCTCGTCATTTTGAATGCAATTTCGATATGAAATACCTCAAAATGACGTTGGCTATTACTTTAACTTAGTGTAGACTCGTATGTTTTTGTTCACGACACATCTCGAGTTATCCCTCTACAAGGAAGTTGATGTTTATCCACTTAATTGTACATGTAACAGATATTAGTTTAAAACAAAATTCCAACAACCCGTTAAACCTTATACAGATAAAGGCGTATTTAATTAGGGGTTTAGAGTCGAATGGGATATTTAAATAGAATGACAATGAAAAAAGAGATGCATTGTGTGTTCAACATCAACAGAGCAAACAAACGACCCAACACAATTCACATACAAGCTACATCGGTACTGTTCGTTTTTCCAAAAAGAAAAGAAGCGAGTTTGATATCTCGTTATTATCTTTCATACCACTCAATGAAACTAAATCTCGTATTTATATAAAAAAAAAAACAACAACAAAATTTAATACTCTCTTTTATGTTCTTTTTACTTTTATTGTTAATATAATGGATAATTGTGGTACAGTGTACTTTGTGATTTTATTTCATCTCAGAGGGTCTATGTTTGTATTTTTGACATTTAATTGACAAATGATTTATGACAATAAATGTTTTCTTTTTCGAAAATGCCATCTCTGTTTATTGCACAGAATTTTGTGGCTTTTTATGAATTTGAACGAATTGAATTATAATAAGCTAAAATGATCTGAATTTTGTTTCGTTTTTTGTTTTGTTTGTTTCATTGGTTGTGTTGTAATCGGTTAATTTATGTGTATTTAAGCTAGCTGATATTTGAACATATTGGTTCTTTAAACTTTAAATTATTTTGAGACAATGTATAAATGCTGTGATGTTAACATATCGGTTGAATAATGATGATTTATTCTAATAATTTCATTACCCAGTAAACTAATAAAACATAGTGTTTATACACTACGATTTGTTCTGTTTCGCTTAATTATACGTTATTTAAGCTTGATGTCTCAATGTATGTACTGTTGTTTTGAACATCTATATGTGAAAAGTTATTCTGAATAAAAAGTTATTGAATGGAATAAAAAGTTAACGCATATGTTATAATTATGTAAATGATATTTTAAGAAAAAAAAAGAATAAAAATAATAAATTTCTAACATGGATAGCCATTTTATTACTAGTTATAAAGATTTTTGTCAGACTACATGGCCCTATATACACGGTTGTTTGTAAATATAACCTGAGCTGCCAGGAATATTTGTGATACAGCGTACTTCAAAACCACGATCATTCATTAAAACGCGATGATACAAACGTGCAGTATGATACGACAGGCAATACAGTCACTTTCAAGTACAAATGTTGCCGCAATGCAGCAATGGAGAAGCTCCGCGTAACAGATACCTGACCAAAACTTGTAAATCGTCATCTTAGTGCAATAACGTAATATACTAAGATTTCACGCATTTTTGGGTCCAGCAGTTGTTAAGGGACGATTTGGTTAGGGGCTAAACGTCCTGTTTGCTCGAGGTGATCTGCATTTAACGGAATATTTTACAAATAGGAAAGTTATAAGGGTGCCCTCTATAACATTTGTACCAATGCATCTCCTATCATGTTCTTGTGTCCGTTCTTAGCAGTCGTTTATCATGCAGAATGCATTATGCAGGAAGAAACCGGAAACTAAAGAATGTACTTGTACACATATTTGTACATGATAATGTGTTTACAAGTTAGATATAGATAACAAGTATAGTATGTTTATTATGTTATTATTGGTTTTAAGTTTATTGGTATATGTCGCTTTTTTTTGGAATGGCACTAATGTGTCACATTGAAGGTTCCATGATTACCACCATATGAACACATCTGCGGATGTTTCAAAATTCCAAATTTTACCAGTTTATGTTAAATGTTGTATACTACTAAAGCCGGTGCTACGGGACGTGGACGTTAACTTGCACTTAGCAGTACCGTCCATGAACAGGCCCAATCAATCCGGGTCTGCAACATTTTCAATTTTGCCGTGTTGGGCTTACTCTATCGAGTCTTAGTTCTCTCTTTTATATAACTACCACTCAAGGTTTATTATAATTTAGCATAACTACCTTTGTTTGATCCATGATCTCATGATTTTTGTCATTTTAATATGTCATATATTTTAATTATTATGACCCATGGTTGGAAGAAAAATATTCCATGCGTAAACTTTAAAATTTTAAAATATTCTATTCCTGATATGTCTTCTGTCATGTATAAATTAATGAAACATTTTCCAAGACAGGAAAGCCTATTTTTTCATGCATTTTTTATTGATAATATTTAGCCATGGCAAACTTTTATGTGATTGCCATGGCAAAAATTTGCCGAGGCAAAATAAAAGAAAAATAGAGATTGCAATACAAAATAACAATAGCACCAATTACATATCATAGAATAAGTTTAAGAATGTTTTGAGATTTTTAAAAAGTAAATTGCCATGGCAATTGTAGGAATAATTCCCATGGTAAAGTACCGAAATGCTTTGGCAAAGCACACATTGCCTTGACAAATGCAAACTTAAAATGAAATTTTATAAAAAAAGAAGTAAATATTAACTTTAAAACCTTGTCTTAAAGGTTGTTTTCATTTTTTTAAAGCACGTAGAATAGCGGTCGATTTTGAAAAAACCGGCGCGGCAAAAGAAACCGGCAGCTATTTTATTTAATAATGATTCATATGGTTTAAGAGAATTCGTGTTTACATTTTGGAGTCTGCAATCTTTTCTGTATTGAGACTTGATGGTATACGTTGTTTTTCCTATCTGTAATTTTTTTAAATGGCAGTTTTATCGCTGTCACAGGAGTTTCCCATTAGAGTTTAAATATTAAATTACTTTTAATAGAGGGTCCACGTCATCGTACATAAAATTACTAGAGCAAGCAATAAGGCATTGTATGCTTTCCAGTAGTGTTAAACAATTATTTATGTTGAAGTTTTCAATCATATAAGTTGCTTTTATTTCCTCACCTCACCATTTCTTTCTTTAAAACATTAAAATGTCTATAATTATTTTATCTTTGTTTAAATTGTTCAATTTGCATATAAACATGAAACTAAACTCAGGAACTTATTATTGTATTCTTACCCATACCAACATATATTTTACATTTAATCAATTCTACTTCATCGAAAAACTATTACTAACATTCAAACCAATACAGTTTGTTTTATGAAATCATAAATAACTAGAACTCCGCGAGTCGGATGTGTCGCCTTGTATACAATGTAGTTTAGGAGAAATGGCCAGGACAAAAATGAAATTTGAAAATCAAAAAAAGGGCAATAACTCAAAAAATAAGAAATGCAGAGCAGCAGTTTCTGTGCACTGCACTTCTTATCTATAAGATCTATCATCCTATTAAGTTTCATGTATAAAGCTTTTATAATTATTGAGAAATGACCAGGACAAAAATAAAGTATGAAAATAAACAAAGGGCAATAACTCAAAAAATAAGAAATGCAGAGTACCAGTTCTTGTGCATTGCACTTCTTCATAATGAGATCTATAATCCTATGAAGTTTCAAGTCCATAGCTTTTATACTTAAGGAGAAATGGACCGGACAAAAATAAAGTATGAAAATTAACAAAGGGCAATAACTCAAAAAATAGGAAGTGCAGAGTACCGGTTCTTATGCACTGCACTTTGGGTCATTATAAAAAGCATCCATACCAAGTTCAAAGTAAATCAAACTTATAATGACTGACTTATGCTCCGGACAAGCTTAAAGGGACACCGACGCCGACATCGACAACGACAACGACACCGACGACGACAACGACGCCGACACCGCCGACAAAAGTAACTCCTATATGTCGCCTTTTTCAAGGCGACACAATAATAAAAAAATGTGTGGATTTATATCTTCGTTTTATTCTGTTTAATCCCGAATCCATTTTTTTACTATGTAAAAAGATTATTTCATGTTTATTTAATACATATGATAGACACGTTCTATTTACGGCTATATCGATATGTTTCAATTAACAACAACAACAACTAAAACAATAAAAAAAACTGACTTCTTAGGAAACAGACAAACAAAAACAACAACAAAAACAAAACCAGATAGAAAAATAAGGAAAATGACATAAGATACGTTCTTTCAAAAAGAGTTAAATTTAGAAATGCTTTTTCTAAATTAATTCAGAAGAAGAAAAAAAACCGGGACAAACTAACAAAAACTATAATTAAACGAGAATGACAATACCAAAAAGTATAAAAAGGACTTTTGTTAAGATCAATTTATCATCACTGGAAAAAGGAGGATTAAGACAATTGTCAAATAAATGTAATTTTTCACTCAATAAAGAATTTGAAAGCTACACACATTGATTATTACATTTCTTATTTAATTATTATATCTTTGTCATATGTTCCCATTAATTTAGTGTAATATTTGAAAGTTTAGACAGTCATGGAGTCTTTGAAAAAATATTAAATATTTATATTTTATTTTACCACAAAACACTTATCGATGAAAATGCCAATTATTTATTAAACAAAATAAAAAAAATCCTTACCAAAAAGACATCTTTTGTATGAATGGTTCCTAATTTGATCATCATTTTCATTATAACAAACTTTTACGTTTCCTTTTTCTCCTTTTGCTACAAATGCACACTGAATGCACTTTCAACAATTCGACAACTGTTGCAGTGTTAACATAACAATAAACTTGTGGCGGCTCATTTTGTGCAGTTACTAACGAAAATTGAGTAACTGAATACCTCAAAGTCCTTGATTTTAAAATGGTTTCACATTAATCTAGACGCTGCACGAAAGAAGTAAAAGAAGACGCTTCAAATCAACGGTAAACCTGTGCGGGAGTTTCGATGCACCGGAGGGCAACTAACTGTCTCGACTTGATGATTTGATTTAATACAGTAATACTTTCCTTTAAGTGGGATAAGATTAAGATACAAGTGCACGTGTAAATTATTATAGAAATGAGGGGATTAATACAAACATACCACCAAATCGAAATGACATACTAATAACGGCACAGCACCTAGCAGAACGGTCGTGAAAGCAAATCCACTGCAAATTCACCATCATAAAGATGATTTTTTCAGTAAAGCTTTATATACTGTCAAAAACTGAACTATACATTTGTAATGGCTGATTAACATAAAGTTGAACAATTTAAAGAAGATCAATTTTGCGAAAAAATAAGTTTGACTTCCTGTCAAAAGAACTGAATATCAGTATAATTTTCAATTGTCATTTTAAAATAACAAACTAAAATATATAAATTTGATAGGCCATTATAAAATGAGTGAGACTAAAAACGGATTTGAGCACGACACTTAATACCGTATTCCGCTATATTCCGGAATAATCACTTGAATTATTCAATGCTAAAATCTTGCCTTTTTCACCCAACGGTGAATTGGTGAACGAGTATTATTTTCAATTAACATAAAGGTTTTCCGGAAACGAACTTTTTATCAAAGTTTTTCCGATTTTTTTATTCTCACATTTTCTGGTTACGTTTCTCAGATATTAAATTTAGTGATTTCTGGGAGGAAACATGGTAAGGGATCCCAGCCTTGCAAGTAACTGAATAATATGCTGACTACAGAACATCAAACGCCTAAAATTAGCATGTACACTAAAATGAACTAAAATTGAGAAAATCAGAATCACTAAAAAGAGCAGCAAATTCCATGAAATTACTTTAAACTGCTTTTAAAATCTGAAATTTTGTCATAAGTAACGATGTCAACATAATGTTTTCAATCCAGTAAACCTTAGAAAAGTCGTAAAACACATGAAAAAACGAATTTATCCTGTGCTCTCAGATATTTATGTCAAATAAGTGATTGATGCATTTTATTGATATAAAGTTGATAATTTTCAAATATATTTTTTTATAGTTTTTTTCCGGATCATAAATTGTAAAAAAAACAACAACATGATCGCTATCTAAAAAATCTTTTTTTTATCTCACCTGAGCACAACGTGATCCCTCCGTCCGTCTTCCGTTGTCGTGAGGTGTGGGTTGTGAATTTTTTTAAACAACATCTAAGCCCTTAGCTTTGAGATCATGGTATATGCTATCATCTATAGGTCCTCTACCAGAGTTGTACAACTTTTAGCCCTAGGGTCAAAATTACCCCTTCCCCGGGGCATAGATTTTCATTATATAATAGTAAAATCTCAGGAAAATAAGTCACAGAAGCTTCAAAGGCTAGAACTAAGATACTAGCAGTGTGGACCTCTACAAAGATTGTTTCATTTATGGCCCTGAGAACAAAACGAGTTTCGCCGTTGGGGTCATTAGTATTCTTTACACACATTAAACAAAACTAAAAGAAATGTTATTGAAAAGGAGACAGCTAGAGCTTAGATATTCGACTTGAAATATTTTCTGGTGAATCTGTTTCAAGATTATTTAAACATAAAGCCTTTTGGTCAAAATTTGCCCTGGCCACTTGTTTATTCTATTTTTTTGCCAATTTTCATTCTCCATCAAGGCGATTGGTCCGGTGCATTAACTTCAGCAAATGCAGTATGGTTACTTTGCTGGAAACTTGAAGTAAGTAATGTTAGAAATGCCAGAAGTGTCGATGATGTTCATAAACATCTGTATACACATAAAGCAAATGGTTTAAAAACAGCAAAAATTTACACATGACTGTCTGTTTCATACTGCATGCTTATGTTATCATAATAAACAGGATCTACACGCCTTAAGAATGCTGCTCTTTTAAGTGGTTCTGATTTTCTCAATTTTAGTTCATGTTAGTGTACCTGCTAATTTTAGGTGTTTGATGTTCTGTAGCCACATTTTATTCAGGTATTTGCAAGGCTGGGTTCCTTTTCTTTTATTTTTCTCTTTAGTTTATTTGTATTAAATGTTTTCGGATCATGTGTTTAGTTTTTAAAGTTTCAACCTCATGCTTGATGGTTTTATAAATGTTTTCAATTAGTTTTTCTACAGGCGTCTTCTGCTGGTATTAAATAATCAAGATATTTTGCTTTTTAAACAAGTAATCGGTTTATTATCAAACAATATTTGGTTATGCCATAAAAATATGCTTTCAATTGACACACCAGGTAATAAAGTATTCAAATCTGGAAACAAAGTGATCCCGCGGAAGCATTTATCACAACAAGACACATTTATTGCACAAATGATACGGGACATACAACATACTTTGATAAATATACATACCAAGTGATTAAAGGCCCTGTAGGCGGTTATTTCGTTTCTTGTTATCTATGGTGTTCTGTTACACTTTCCGAATAAGTACTTATTAGCAGTAGAGCTGTACAATTTTAACAGTAATGACAGTTAAAGTGATTTAATATTTTGTATGGAAGTCAAAATTACAACAGTTTGCCTCTTATGCTATTTACCACATCTATCAGATTTAATAATATTAAATAAATTTTGAATTTTGATTTGAAAACTATCTAGAATGAAGAAAATGGTCTTAATAAGAAAATGAATCCGAACACCAATATCTTATATTCAGTCGTTAACGCTGTACAGACGTTTAAAGTGTTGTTTACGTGACGTCACAATGTAGCGCCAAACGTGGAAAACAATCAAATTAAGTACGCTCTTTTAATGTCGCAAACGTGTTAAGTTTGACATTTATTTCACTTTTAATATTCTTTATTTTGCCTGAAAAATTATAGGGTGAAATAAAATAAACAAACAAAGTTTTATCAACGTTTTCAAAATTCGTTATTCTCAAAATATTTCTACACACGTAAGATTTAACGACAGTTTTTTTCCATACCACTGGAACAGAAAAAATATAGCGGCGGTGCCATATTAAACACAGTACGTGTGACGTCACACGCACTCGTCAACAACAGTCGAGCCGATTCCTTCTTTCTTCCTGTAAATAAAGGTAAATCACGTAGCACAAATGATAAAATACATTAATTTTATTCATTTAATAGGAGGAAACCAGAAAAAACGGAAGCAGTGTATAAAATACCGAATGACAATTTTAAAACGGAAAATTTAAAATAAAAATGAGCGATTATTTCATACTATTTCACGATAAAAGTACATCGAGCTTGTTTTGAGGCTTTGCCTTTTTCATATTAATTTAGGAAAAGGTATACATAGCGATAATAAACTATTATAACATAATGTTACTCATAATAAGTATCTTTTATGACCTGTTTTGAAATTGTTATAGTTGTTAATCACATATTTTACAACTAAAACAATTTCAAAACGGGTCATGTACTGATTATAACATCGGTACAATTAAACAAACACAGAAACAATCACCATATTAAAAGTTTTTTTGTAAATGCTGGAAAATTGGAAGTTGTAATAAAAATATAATAAAAATATATACTGAATGCATTAATTAATATTTTTTCTTCACAACAATTAATAAAAAAACAGAAAAAAACACAAAAAAAAAATGAACATGAAAAACATAAAAATTGTATCACACTCAACTGCAGTCAAATTGCACTAGGTGTAACATAAAGATAAACGTAATAAGACTAATGTTGAATGAAAGACTTACAATACTAATAATAACATTGATTTTCATAATATAAGAAATAACAGAAAATAATATAAAGGCAGGTTTAGATTATCCTAAAACTTAAATGGGACCATTACTTTATAAATGATTAAATGACAGTTTACATGTCAGTTATATGATATTTATTTGTGTACGTAAGTTACCTGAAATAATACACTGACAGCACATTGTGCGAAGAAAAAATGTCATAATATAACAATAATAAGGATAACATAAAATACGCATCTTAAATTTAACTGCAGACATTATCCTTGTATGTTTTTATGACGCCGTTTCAAAAAGGAAGATACTCGTTATATTTTAATATTGCAAAATTAATGCCTTTTTCTAAATATTTTTCCTTGTGTGCAATCATACAAAGCGGTGCCCTTTGACATGTTGGTGGTTTTTATAAGTGGGAGCCCTCCACACTTCCGATGAAGAGGCTACGACCAAAACAAGGTTGAAAACAGTAACAGCAGTTTCAAAAATAATGCGTTTTTAAAAACATATGCTTTTTTCAAGTATCGAAAATGTTTTGCCACGTAGAAGAGTTTGGTCATCATTTTTGATGCAATTTCGATATTAAAACCTCAAAATGACGTTGCTATAACTTTTACTTAGTGTAGACTCGTATGTTTTTGTTCACGAGAAGACACATCTCGGTTTATTTCTCTACAAGGAAGTTGATGTTCATCCACGTAATTGTACATGTAACAGATACTCGTCTAAAACGAAATTTCAGCAACCCGTTTAACCTTATACAAATAAAGGGGTTTTTAATTAGGGGTTTAGAGTCGAATCGGATATTTGAAATAAAATGACAAAAAAGATGCATTGTGTGTTCAACATCAACAGAGCAAACAAACAACCCAGCACAATTTACAATGCAATTGGTCGTCTTTCACAAAAAGCGAGTTCGCTTATATCGGCGATATCTCGTTATCTTTCATACCACTCAATGAAATGAAATCTCGTATTTATATATAAAAAAAAAGAAGAAATATTACCCTCTCTTTTTCTTTTTACTTTAATTGTTAGTAAAATGAATAATTGTAGTACAATAAACTTTGTAATTTTTTTTCAACTCAGAGGGTCTCAGAGGGTCTCTATTTGTTTTTTTTGACATTTAATTGACAAATGATTTATGACCATACAGGTTTTTTTTCGAAAATGCCCTCTCTGTTTATTGTTAATGTTGTGGCTTTTAATGAATTTGAACGAATTGAATTATAATAAGCTAAAATGATCTGAAATCTGTTTCGTTTTTTTTGTTTGTTTCATTGGTTGTGTTGAAATCGGTTAATTTATGTGTATTTAAGGTAGCTGATATTTGTACATACTGGT